TGACGCATAACAAGCGTGACGTTTCAGCGGTGATGCGTAATAGATGCAACTTATATGGCGAAGCGACTTGTTTATGTTTTTTTTCCAGTTTATTATATTAGACATATTTGGACTGATGCTAAGTGTACGGCGGAAAGTACGGAAGTTCTGTCTGTCGAACGATGTATTATAGTGATGATGAGAAAACATTCATTGAAGTAGAACTGTTTGTAATTCACTCATTAAAATATACCCGACACTGTCTGCACTTAAAATGGTGTGAGGACTGACAGGACCTGGTTTATCCTAAACTTGACACCACAGCACTCAGACTGAAGAAAAACAACCAGACTGGAAATCTTCGGCTGTCTTGATGTGAGCTACATTTCAGCTTGATTGACTCTTTTATTTGTCCTGAATCTTATGTAAACAATAGAAACATTATAAAACCAGCGTGGGTATAAGACTGAGTTGTTCTCACCTTCAGCAGGTCAGTACCAGTGGCCTGCTGGCTGGCAGCTTCCTGAGCAGACTCACTGTGGGGATGGACCATATGGAACAGAGACACGAGGCTCACAGCATCCTGAAGCCTGGCAACACAAACACACCACAACTCAAACTTACAGCAATTACTGTGCAGAAAAACTGCTATAGTGCTTTTCAGTTGAAAGACAAGTTAAACACTCACAGTCCCTTCTTCAGCGTGTTCACTAACAGCCCGTCCATCCTGCGAGCATTGATCAGGTACCAAACCATGCCTCCAAAATGTCTGGTGAATTGCAGCAGGTGATATCTGTTGGTTTTGTCCAGGTCCTCATATGCAGCTACATGCACCTAAAGCAAGGACGTGATGAAGAAAAACAAGTCAGCTGAAGCCGGACAGCCATAAGATGAACACTTTTTTAAATATTAAAACATAGAAACGAAAATATGATGAATGTAAAATATCTGGAATTCAACAAGCAAAAAATAACTAGCAGTTCGCTGCTGTGTCCTGTCACTGAGATTTGAATAGTGGATGCTTGTAGTTTTCAAGAGGAGTTCAGATGAACTTTTAAGCGTTGATTCCTTAAATGATTGTGGTGGCCGGTAGTCCTGTTGCGATAAACAATATATCAATTAATTGCATGATAAATGAAAATTATAAACCTCATTTTCATTTATCGGCTTTATCGTTTCTTCATCTCTCTCTTTCTACTGAAGACACTGGATGACAAAAGGCTCCGGTGCGCTTCACTGACCCCTCCCCTTCTCTTTAAAATCTGTTTTAACCGCCCAAAATTGTGTTTTTGGATCGTTAAAAGCAGCTAAACTGAGAAGCTAAGCTACGAGCTAAGCTAACAGGCTGACCTCGGGGAAAAAACCTCCGTCTTGTCAAAGTTCCAAAATTCACAGTTGAAACCCGCGCCTTCGTGTAAAGACGTTTTTCTCTGCAAAAAGAAGCTGAGAACTTGTTTACTGGTTTTTTATTAAAAACTTTGTATGGAAAAATGCTATGCTAAAGAGCTCAAACCACACCGAGCTTTTGCCATTTTGAGAAGTGAAAAAAAGTTGAGAAAGCCCATGTCACGTCAAGGGGCCTCCCTCCCATTTTTCTTAAAGAAAGATGCTGCTCGCTCCCTCACTATCCATCCTTCTGTTCAAACTGTCTTATACTGCCATCCGGTGGTCAAAAAAAGGCACTAGACACAAAAGTTAAACATTTCTTCTTAAATTTGACAATAATTACTAATTATTGTCAAATTTCAAACAATATTAACGTTTGTCGCAATAATTTCTGAGACAATTAATTGCCCAGCAAAATTTGTTATTGTGACAGGCCTAGTAGCCGGTTCCCATAAATATATGGTTGTGGCCATTTGGATTTTGGCATAGCAACCCAATTTCCATGGTGGCTTTTCTTACTCCTAGAAGCAGCTGCACATCAAAATGGAAGTCTGTACGTCACTTATTTTTCAAGTTATGCTCACAACATGCATAGATGGATGGACAGATGGAGGGTAATTCCAATTCCCCATTATCACTGTGCAACAGGGGACAAAAACAGGTCCACTGACTGTTTACAGATGAGCATTATAACCACGATGCCACTTTGACATCAACTAATTTTAGTCTTTGAGGCCAGAAGAGATGAAGACAAAAAGGAAGAACTGAAACCTTAATATGTAACCACCTTTCAGGTCCAAGTTAGATATTTAATAAGGTAAATATTTTCTAAACACACACAAATGCATATTACAAATTGTTGTAAATGACTAAAACATGTATGAACATTTTCATAAACTATTTTATGGCAAGTTTTTGTCATTTCTTTTTATGAAGCAGAATCTGAGAGGCGGGTAAGCGAAGAAACTACTAGACTTGCATTTTCAGGCACTTACGAGATAATTAACCTGTTGCATATAATCAGTGTGTCTAACATTGATTACAAGATATCGATGTATAGAAGTAAAATACTTCCTCTAATAAGAATGAAAACTCATCAGGAATTAGACAGAAGTAAAGTGCATATACACTGTAGGGACACATCAAGGTTTTTCTACCATCAACTTTTATTCTTTTGACACTTTGAAAATAAGACTGACTCATTCCCAAAGCTGGACAGGAAGGAACCATGTTACCAAAAAATTGAATAACAAAAATCTGTTATTGTAATTAATTGCACACCTGTTATTATGATTCAGCAAAGCTGAAAGGCCCTTTGTATGAGAACCTTTCCATCTGACCTTTGAAATATAACATCTGAGCGTTAGGTGTATCTCTTCCTAAAAGGGAGGATTCGTCCTGCAGTCTTAGAGTGGGAAAGAGCCAGCATATTGTTCCTCAAGGACTCTTTGGTAGTAGTGAATGGATGAAACAACATTGCCATCCCATAGAAGTTTTTTTTTTTTAACAATTTAATTTTCTGAATTCTCCTGAACACAATTGAATGTTTTGCTGTAAAACTGCTATGAATTAACTTGTCTCCTTCTTTCTCAGTCCAGTACTCAGTTTAATCATGCATAAGAGAAAGTAGATGTAAACAAACTGGTAATCAGAGGTTTCAACTGTTGTTTGCACAAGTTAGATATTTAATAAGGTAAAATTTATGGATGAGTCAAACTGCTCAGAAGTCTTAATTATCCTGCTGTTATCTTGAGTATTTACCAAAGCTAAATTAGCCATTTATTTTTAATATTATTATTAAAGTTCAAACGAAACGGTAACCTGAAACAAAGGTCCACCCTTTCTGTTCTGATTGGGTCGACCATCAATATTGTAACGCCCTCCAAGTCAGAGAAAGTTATTTTGATGTTTAGTTTGGAGCTCAGTCTTGGGGGAAACTTTTGAAGAAGAAAGATCAAGCAATCGAAAATTTATTCCAGAAGATAAGAAGTCCATGCAGAAAATGCAACCCTCCACTGACTTATCGGAAGCCAGTTATCTATCGACTCCAGATTTTAGCTTATGTCCAGTGTCCACGGATATCCACCTTCGACGCTCAACTCATCTCAAGAGAGTCCCTGGTAAGCCTCGGGCGGTTGAACTAGAACTTCAAATCGGTAGGAAAAGCTGCTCATTCTCTCTGCTGGTGTCTGGTGTTCAAGATAATAAGTTGTCCAGTCTAAGCAAAATTCATCATTATTAATTAAAATTAAGTTTTCCTTAATTGACAAATCACATCTAGCCAAACCACTTCATTTAGTTAACTTTATAGATGATAATTTACTCTGCTTTTGAACCTCATAATTCACCATATTGAAGTTTAAAAGATAATTCCGTAACCTCTTCTTGTTTTGTCAAATTAAAGCCATTATTCATTCATCAGCTGTACTCGTCATTTTGACCACTTATATTTACCAAAATCGATAATAAACTTCACAAAATTGTACTTCAATTCTAAGCGTTTTTATTATATATGACATTTGAATTTAATATGAAAAGAACTCACTAGAACACGTAAACTTGAGTATGATTTCATATTTTTCTTGCTTAAGAAACGGAACGCAAGTGGTGCCCCTTTCAGAATAAAATTACTAATCAAAATTCAACGAGCTGAGGACCCCTTCCTCTACAACACTTTTGTTAAAAATAGTAGAGATAGGCAATACATAGACCAAAATTAAAATCTCAATATTTTTAAGATAAATTGCAATATACAATATTTTTCTCAATATTTATTTCTTTTCATAAAGTAATACCAAAAATACATTTCTGAGTCAAAGCATTGTCCCAACAGGCACGTTTATTAACAAACAGCTGTAATTGTACAAAATTAAAGTCTAAAAAATAAACTATTCACATATATTAAAAGGGTTTTTTTAGACATTTATTTACATATATTAAATAATAATTCTCTTCAGCTGTGCTGCCTTCACCTACGTTAGTAAGCGTGTGAAGCAGCACGTGAGGGGCTGTGTACGAGTGTGGGAAAAGGAGGGGCCGTGTGCAGTGGGTGCAGACGGGAGAAAAAGAACTACACAGATTTTAAAGTCTAATAATATTCCATGGTTGTCATCGAACCATTTTAACCATCGTAAATGGAAAAACTCGCGACACATCGAGTATACTCAATATATCGTCCAGCCCTGGTACCAAGTGATTGAAGCTAAAAGTAAAATGGAACCAGGAGCTCCTTTCATCAACATAAAACGTTTAAATGTTTTCTGCTTGTAGATGTAATAATCATACTGTCAGCTGAAACAAGGAAATTATGTTTATGACAACACAACCAAATGGTTTTTTTTTTTTTTTTATCGATTCCCAGTAAAAAGACAAACAATGAGCACAAACATTTTTTCACAACAAAGCTGCACTTATTAAGGACTTTAACGGAAGTGTAACTGTTCGAACACATAACATGTATTGATTCAGTAATAAAAAATGTGACAAGTTTTCACATTTTATTTCTGACTTCAATGTAGGGCTGCAACAAACGATAATTTCAATAATCGATTAATCTGCTGATTATTTTTCGATTAATCAATGGATCAGCAAAAAAATAACCAAATGTTTTAATTTCCACCTCTTTATTACAAAATTTAACATACATAGCAAATCGCACAAAAAACAGTTTGCTACTTGACTATTCTGTCAGTAAAAATATTGAATAATAAAAGATAAAAGTTTGTCAAATAGCTTCACTAAAAAAAATAAATGTAAAAAAAAAAAAAAAAATATATATATATATATATGCACACTAGGGGTTGAACGAGTATATAATTTTTAAACTCGACATTAACATAATAAAACCTGAGTAGAACTAGAGTATTTGATGACATCATAGATCTCAAGATACAAAAATAAATAAATAAATAAAACCGCAAATAAAGGTAATTATTTACAAAAATAAAAGACCAACAAAACATTGGGAGCGTATATTATGCTCCTACCATTTATCATACTGCAAATAAGTCACAGGAAAAACTAAACCATTAGTTTTTATTATTAAACTGCAAACGTGAAGAAACGCAGCACGTCAAAAACGAAACTTAAACCGAAACTGGTTCTGGTTTGGTGGATAGGACCGGGTGTTACACCATACTCTGTGACCTGCAACAGTGCAACACCACCCTCTACGGTCATACGTGGTCACATAATATGACGTTTCTACGGATACCCGACTTTACATTTTTAACATCGATAGATGTCCTAGCAATCGATGTGTAGATTACTCGAGTACTCTGTTAATGCCCTAATATACACGCATACATACACACACACACACACACACACACACACACACACACACAC